CTGGGTTGACAATATCCATTACTCGATTTTGACCGATTCTCATTCTGATGAACCGATATTGATTCTTATTATGCGGCTCTGTGGAATACTTGATTCTGATTGGTCAGTCGCTACATTCCGAGGTGTGTTATCCCTCGATAATAACCGGTGAAAGCTGATAACACAGGCTCATCCGGGTAACTGAAGTCGGCGCTATACGCTTGCTAGGAACTGTTTCTCTGCATGGAAGCTTTGCGTTTGGTTAGCTAATAAAATATTGTTGTGTAATAAGTGGTGTTACTGCACTGTATCTCTTAAATGTCCGTCTAGTTTGAACTTGCCGCTTGTTCGCTTGCTGTGTTCACGGAAGCTTTGCGTTCAAATATTTCCACTCAAATCAATATTTCGTGTCTAATTATGTACTTATGAGGCATGTAGCCGTGTGATAAGCGGGATCATGTCCATCCAGCCAGTTGTTATTGCAGAATAACCCTCTTCAGGGTGACACAAGACCCCTCCGCTTCACGTCGATCACCAGGGCTGCACGATTTGGGGAAAAAATCTAATTGCGATTTTTCTGGTTAAAATTGCAATTTAAATGCAATTTTTAAAACAAATTAACAAAAAAATAACAATATAATAATTAGATAAATTAATACAATAATAACAATACTAATTTTATTTTACAGAAAACTATTGTTTTACAGAAAACTGCAGGGTTACCTGTTAACATACAGGCTTATAACTGTACATCACATGATACTGTTATGACAAAAATAGCGCCCTCACACAGAAACTCCACAAATACATCACAGAAGTAATAGAACTCTAGACGTTCCAGGAAATCCCTGATATGGACAAAGGTATCAGGCTATCGCTGTGACTGAATAAAAAGAAGATAGAAATGTATGAACTGATTAAACATGAAGACAATAAACCTATGACAATATATGGTTTAACGGTGTTCTTCACAGCGCCTCAGGTATTTTCATAATAATAAAGTCAATATATAATGCAATGCTAATCGACAAAGCCTTTATTACAGTATAAAATATATTTTTTGCCTCGTTATGTGACAAGAAGCCACATCAGATCAGAAAATGAAGTTATTTCAAACTCTTGACTGATGTTTTGGAGTAAAATCATGTTATAATGTTCTCAACAACAGGTTTATAAATGTCTGAGAGGATGTTTGGAGTGTGTGGTTCTTAATCAGATGCACGTTATAAGCGACTCAAACTCATGAGCATGAGCAGCATATATTTTTATTTCATTCAAAATCGCAGCCTTTGTGATTCATTAATCGCATCAAGCCAGATCGTGATTCCGGTTGGATTTCGATTAATCGTGCAGCCCTACTGATCACCCTGTCGGGGGTTATTCTGCGATAACATTATCCCTTACTTAAGTCCCAAGAATCAGTCTTTTAGTGCTGTTTTGAGTTGATGCCTGAACAAAACCTCTCTAAACATTATTTGTAGGGCGCCTGCAAACCAATAATCACAATAATCTTTGTGCTTTGTAATTTTTGTTATGAAATAAAGTCTCAGCCTTCAAATTCTGTACATTTAATGACGAAATTCAAACAATAAATGTGGTTTTGACGCTCTTTAATGTGGCTTGACCGATCGATTTAGCTGAGATTCTTTTTGCTTTGAGAAAAATTGATGTACTGTATCTGATATATAACCAAATCAATAGATATTGACTCAAATCAAATCGTGATTGGAAGCAAATTAAATTGAATTTGTGTCAGTGTTACAGGATGATACAAAACTAGTTCAGGAAGCCCTTTATGCAGGGCCGCATTATCCTAATGGGCAACATGTGCTGCAGCCCAGGGCCCGAACACTAGGGGCCCCCGAGTCAATTGTCTTTTGCATTTTATATAGGTTGCCAACCGTTCCGTATAATAGGGAATCGTCCCGTATTTAGGGTATCAGTTTGTCCTGTATTTGCAGGCATACGCCGTATGACCACCTAGACCATACAAATAACAAATAAATTATTATTTTTCCAAAGCATTGTTTGAATTGTGAACGTAGCCGCTCGAGGAAGGCTTTAAGACCAAGCAGAATCATCTGCCGCCTAGTTGCTCCCGCTTCACAGCGAGCGGGACTCGTGTTTTGATTTCTGCAAATCAGTTTGTTTGAATGCAGAGATGTGATTATTGATCGTAAGCACAACATCCAGCTAGAAAACATACTATCTACCTTTTACTATTTGCAATAGTTGGACCGAGGCTATGGAATAACCTTCCTTTATCTGTGATACACACACACTCACACACACACACTCGCACGCACACACTCACACACACACACACACACACACACACACACTTGCACGCATGCACACACACACACACACATCAGACACACACACACACACACACACACACACACACTTGCACGCATGCACACACTCACACACACACACACACACACACACACACATTCACATGTGTGTGTGTGTGTGTGTGAGTCTGATGTGTGTGTGTGTGTGTGTGTGTGTGTGTGTGTGTGTGTTGTGGCATCAGATGATCGTGTCTCTGACTCTGGAGAGGGACAGTGGGCTCAGCTCTCTGCACTCCGCTCCGTCGCCCGGTGAGTCGAGCATGAGACGCACGGAGAGCGTGCAGCATCTGTCGGTGGAGCTGGCCGATGCTAAAGCCAGGATCAGACGCCTGCGGCAGGAGCTGTGAGTACCTGTCATCAGTTATTCAGCTTCCCTTCTGTGTGGACACAATAGAGAGCCATTAGAGGAAGTGCTGGAGAGCAGGGGAAGCTGTTTACTGGAATCATCTGTGCACCTGTCTAATGCAGTGTGATTGAGTTCAGCTGCTCGTCTGCTCTGCTGAAGCTCTTCATGTGCGGCTGGCAGCACTATTCCCCTGATAACAGTGTGAAGCACGTCTTTCTGTTTGCTGATGTTCTCTCAGACCAACATTTACTCCAGACTCCTGGAGAGCAGTAACAGTGGCGCTTTATGACTGTACATGACGTGGAACGTTATCTTAACCGCTGCTTTGACAGGCTGCTAACTCTTTAACTCAAGCCCTGTTGAATCATTTACACTGACAGCAGTGAACGACTGTCCGAGGTGAGTCCAGTCGAATCCAGCAGAGATCAGAATGAGCTGCAGTGAAGACGAACAGAACTCAGGAAAATCCTGAGAACTTTGACTGATTTATTGATGAAATAACCATTTACATGCTCAGGATATTTGTTCAGGGAAACATCAAATATAAAAACACTGTCTAGTTGTGATCATTGAAATCAGATGCATTTGTTTTTAACTCAGATGCATAGTTAAATATTATGAAACAGGCAGTTAAACTACAGTTTCCACCTGCAGTGAATTGAACATATAAAGTGATTTTCATTGTTGGAGACAGTTGAGAAAATAAAAAACACTCTGGCGAGACAGCAGCTCTTCAGTTAAAATCATTTCTGTCATTTATGTAAAAAATGTTGGGCAGGTGAAAAGCCTGTGGGTGAAGTTTATTTTCTAATGCAGAGATTACAGACGGTTAATTCATGTCTCAAGTCATTTTTTGAGCCGTAGATCAAGTGGATGAGAGAGATTTTCTACAAGCGTTAAAACACATGGCTTTATGAGAAGAGCTTGCACACAGCGAGAATGAGGCCACGGCTCTTTACCTGGCTTCTGTTCTTGCTCTTTCACTGCAGGGTAAAAGAGGACAGTCTATTTTAGTCCGTGTGCCATAAAAGAATGACACAGCTCCACTTTCTGTTCCCCACTGATCACAGCGCTGGCTCATTCTGTTGCTGCGCAGTTGATCAACCGTGGCCACAGCTCTCCAGTGGTTCATGAGTAGATGTTTTCTGGTGCAGTGTCTTACAGTTTCAGGTGAATGAAGGCCATTATCAGAGGCTGCAGCCCCACTAACGCTGCTGTAACGCTCGTGTTTCAGAGAGGAGAAGACCGAGCATCTGCTGGACTGCAGACAGGAGCTGGAGCACGTGGAGACAGAGGTCAAGAGACTGCAGCAGGAAGTGAGGCGTCTTTCTATCATCCCCAGGACTGCAAAACACTCTGCTTAGCTTCATCTCTGGCATCTGTATTGCAAGTCCTAGTGTGTAACGAACAGCTTACACACCAGAGCTTTACTCAGCCGGTCATCACACGTGTGTTTACAGACGCCGACTATCAAATAGTGATGAATAAACCCTCAGCCTCTTAAAGCGATACTTCACCCCTAAATCACTGTTCTGTCATAATTTATGATCATTTTGTGGAATATAAGACATTTTGAAGAGGCTTTGTGCTGCTTTTTCCGTACAATGGAAATTCTGCACATGGTAAATAAGAAAGTACCATAATTCTGCATACTGTAAATCTATATATATATATATATATATATATATATATATATAGATCATCAAAGAGCCATACTGTAGATATCTGTGGTTCTTAAAACCAGACGCTGCACAATGTTGTGTTTTTTCATGAATTCATTGGTTTTTACTAGGGCTGCACGATAAATCGCATGCGATATTTAACTCGCATCTTATCAGTAAAGCCGGTTCTGTAATCAGCGGTAAATCTCCATCACGTGCGTGCGCACGTGATGGAGATTTACCGCTGATTACAGAACCGGCTTTACTGATAAGATGCGAGTTAAATATCGCATGCGATTTATCGTGCAGCCCTAGTTTTTACTGTGACTGATGAGCAGCATCTGAAATGTTGAGCAGTTGTCATATCTATCTCTTCTGAAAGCAGGTTTGTGTGTATATAGAGGTGGTTGTAATAGGTGGTATTGTGTGTCAGAACCTGCAGCTGCTGTGTGACGCGCGCTCGCTGCGGGCGTACCGTGACGAGCTGGACGCTCTCAGAGAGAAGGCCATCAGGGTGGACAAGCTGGAGAGCGAAGTGACACGCTACAAAGAGAAGCTCCACGACATCGAGTTCTACAGGACCAGAGTGGAGGTGCGTGACCGAGTGTGTTCATCAGGGAGCGCTGGGTCTGCTGGAGCTCACTGATCACATGTGTTCATGTAGGAACTGAGGGAGGACAATCAGGTTCTGCTGGAGACCAAGAGCATGCTGGAGGACCAGCTGGAGTCTTTCAGAGCTCGGTCTGATAAACATCATGAGCTGGAGAAGGAAAACCTGCAGCTTCAAAACAAGATCCATGACCTGGAGATGGTGAGAGAGCACAGAGCGATCACATCCATCAATACAGCAGCTCCTTAGCGTCCTCTCTCTTAGCATAAAAAGCCAACATTATAAAACTCAATCATGATAGTGACTGCATGGACTCAGTCCTGCCGTACTGTTGCTGTGTTTCAGGAGCGAGACATGGACCGGAAGCGCTTGGAGGAGCTGCTGGAGGAGAACCTGATGCTAGAGATGGCCCAGAAACAGAGCATGGACGAGTCTCTGCATCTGGGCTGGGAACTGGAGCAGCTCTCCAAGACCACTCCCGAGCTCACTGAAGGTACGAGATATATGTGTGTATGTGGAGCACGTTTCAGGATAGATCCCAGATTATGCTGCTTTGCCAAGAAGGTTAACTGACCTGGATTCAGGATGTTTTCTAAATGAGAGGCTGGTGTCCGTGGGCTGTGAGCGTGACTCTGAGAGATGTTGTGTGTTGTGAGCACAGTGCCGCAGAAGTCTCTGGGTCACGAGGTGAATGAGCTGGCGTCCAGTCAGCTGCTGAAGCTGGAGAAGGAGAATCAGATGCTGCTGAAGAGCGTGGAGGAGCTGAAGGCCTCCGGTGAGAGCGGCGCGCGCCTCCGTCTGGAGAAACACAACCAGAAACTCAGCCAGCAGGTCAGAGTCCAGACGCTTCTCAGCACAGTCCTCAGGAATAACTCGTCAGATATTTCTGAATGCATAGTGTTAGTTCTTGAGACTTGAATTCATAAGTCATGATGAAAAGTGTCTCTATATTAAAAATAAGAGAGATTACATTCTGACGAAGGATTATGAAACCAAACATAATCTTTAGAGTAATGTGCGCTGATTAATCCTTCACAGTGAGACCAGGAATAGAAGTGAGGAAGTACATTTTGATGTGGCTTCAAATAGTGTAACTAAGCTGTGAATAAATTCTGTTCCTCACACAATGAAAGGAGAACTGTTTGAAGAGAATGGGCTAAAATGTTGTGTGGTGTTTACGGGAACTGAGCTCTCAGAGCAGGATCATATTCATCAGCGAGTAATCTGAGTTTAAATCTGGTTTGGGTTCAGTTAAGCTGCTTCCGGAGCATTAGCCGCTCATACGAGTTTGATTGCTCATTATGAGCGTGTGTGTGTCCATATGTCAGCTCTGTGAGGATGTGATGAGTGTATGAAGCGGTGTGTGTTTGTGCAGCTGGAGCAGCTGCAGGCGGAGCTGGCTGCAGACAGAGAGAGTCTGCGCAGTGCTGAGCGTCTGAGCACAGACCTGCTGAAGGAGAAGGCACAGCTGAAGAAAACCCTGGAGACGCTCCAGCAGAACTCCGACAGACAGGTACACCGCACTCACACACACAACCCTGCATCTCATTCATCTTACACTGCTGAATCATTGGGAATTGACATAATTCATTTTATTCTGCCCCGAGCTTTCCATGTCCTCCAGACAAAATTATTTAAATAACTGTCATGTGTCTGATGCCCTAACAGTCAAGTGGGAGAAGTCATAATATTTTCCTCATGACAGAATGAAGGTTTAGCATGGTAATGACATGACAAGGTAATGAATTTGGTCTTAGAGGACTAGATCTGCTGAGCAAGTACACAGACATATGAAACATGCATAAATGCCTGCACAAACACAAAACACGAGCCCCCAACTATGTCGATCTACCACCAAGAGCTGCTAACCGCAGGTTAGGCTTAGGTGTAACACTAGCCCACTGACTTGCTAGGTGTACCTGGAGCTTATTTAACTGGTCACCTGTGTGCACCTGGACCGGGATACACTTAGGTTTATTTAACTAATGGCCTAAGTGTGTCTGAGCTGTTTTGTTTAAGGTTCACCCCTTTAGAAACGCTCTGCTGTGTGCCGTTAGGAGATTAGTGCATGCTTACAGCAGCACTGAAGCAAGGCTGCATGAGAGCTCATTGGCTGACAGATTACCAGTAGAGGACCTCTTGGTTCATGCTGGCGGATTTACACTAGTTTATTTTTTACTTATCTGATTACTCCATAGTTTCAGCACTAAACTTCAAGGCATTAGTGCACTGGAAAATTAAGCCATGTTTACGTTTACTGTATTTGGCTCAGTTGTTTTCAGACATACAGGGACAGTGCATGATATTAATCATCTCTATAAATGTGCCAGTTTAGCTAATACAGCTCATTTTCAACATTAGCCCCTGGTCTAATATTAAAAAAATAAATAAAACAAGGCAGCACACTAATAGGAATAGGCTATAAGGTAACATTTTAACACACTTTAAAACTTTCCTTGTAACAGTTTTCTACAGAAAAAAAAACAACAATTTTGAGTACCTTCAGGCATGCTGCTGATGATACATGTCAAGTTTTGTAGTGATAAGTTAATGTGTCCATAAAATACAGTGTTTTATGACAAAATACACAGAGGCCTAGATGGATAAATTAGGTATCGATCAACTCGACATGCTACTGAATCCAACAAGACAAAGACTACAACCCTGCTTGAGTACCTTCAGGTCATGGCTGACACACACCAGGTTTAGTCTAAATGCACATAAGATATAGCCTCACGTCCACATCCATTCACAAATTATTCGAGAACAGTTTGACAAATCAACTTGAACTCCATAACTAGAAGATGAACATGATCTAATTGTTTTTACCTGAGAATCAGTTGAATGGTCTAGGATTTCAGACATTTTTATTTTTTTTTTGTGATGGCCTTAAACGGTCCTGTGCACGTTGTTCAACGATCTCTTTTACCTGGCACACTGTGTCTGGTTGTGACGCAGGTCAAGGGTCTGGAACAGGAGAACGATCATCTGAACCAGACCATCGCCTCTCTCAGACAGCGCTCTCAGGTCAGCGCTGAGGCCCGCGTCAAAGACATCGAGAAAGAAAACCGCGTGCTGCACGAGTCCATCAAAGAGACCAGCAGCAAGCTCAACAAGATGGAGTTTGAGCGCAAACAGCTTCGCAAAGACCTGGTGCACTACAAAGAGAAAGGAGAAAGAGCCGAGGAGCTAGAGATGGAGGTCCATCGACTGGAGCGAGAGAAGGAGAGTCTGCAGAAGCGTCTCGCTGCTCTCGCCATCACCTGCGGGAAGGTGGAGGTGCTGGAGAAGGAGAATGCCGAGCTGGAAGCGGAGAGCAGGAAGCTGAAGAAAGCAGCGGACGGTCTGAGGAACGTTTCCTATCAGCTGGAGGTCCTGGAGAAGGAGAACGCTCAGCTGGACGAAGAAAACCTGGAGCTCCGGCGCATGGTGGAGACTTTACGGTCCTCCGGAGCCAAGGCTGCCCAGCTGGAGCTGGAGAACAAAGAGCTGGAGAACGAGAGAACCCAACTCAAAAAGAGTCTCGAGCTGCTGAAGGCTTCGTCCAAAAAAAATGAGCGTCTGGAAGTCAGTTACCAAAGCCTCGACGCAGAGAACCAGCGGCTCCAGAAAGCCCTGGAGACCGGCAGCCGCAAGATTCAGCAGCTGGAGGGAGAGCTGCAGGACACGGAGGTGGAGAACCAGAGCCTGCAGCAGAGTCTGGAGGAGCTGAAGATCTCCAGCAAAGGCCTGGAGCAGCTGGCGCAGGAGAACACGGCCCTGGAGCAGGAGAACAGTCAGCTGGAGAAGGACAAGAAGCAGCTGGAGAAGGAGAACAAACGGCTGCGACAGCAGGCTGAAATCAAAGACTCCAGACTCGATGAAGACAACCTGCGCATCTCTCATCTCGAGAAGGAGAACCGCACGCTGGGCAAGGAGGTCGCCGCTCTCAAAGACACGTGTGGTCGCGTGAAAGACTTGGAGAAGGACAATAAGGAACTGGTCAAACAAGCAACCATAGACAAGAAGACCCTGGTCACTCTGAGAGAGGTAACCAAGCAAACACGGTTAGCTGGTGCATGCTTGACTGTGGACTGCTTGCATGACTCTTACTGTGATGTTTCCTGATGCAGGAGCTTGTCAATGAAAAATTAAAGACCCAGCAGATTAACAATGACCTGGAGAAGCTGACCCATGAGCTTGAGAAGATCGGCCTCAATAAAGAGGGGCTTCTGGGTGATGAAGAGAGCTCTGATGACAGGTAATTCATACATGGAATGATCACTTTAGGGCTAGAACTGCAATGAATTTACATGAATACTGGAGTCACGATTGTCACCTGTATAACGCTGTGTTTCTTGTTCGTCAGGTTTAAACTTTTAGAGTCTAAACTGGAGTCCACTCTGAAGTCCTCTCTGGAGATCAAAGCGGAGAAGATCGCTGCTCTAGAAGCCCGACTGCAGGAGTCCTCCAACCTCAACCAGCAGCTACGACAGGAGCTCAAAACGGTTGGGCGTCAGGCTTTGTTTGGCTGGTTGGCAGTGACTTCAGATTGTGTTCATTAAGCCTCGTTTTGTCCACCCACAGGTGAAGAAGAACTACGAGGCCCTGCGCCAGCGTCAGGAGGAGGAGTGTTCGGCTCAGAGCTCGCCTGCTCGAGGACGGGAGGACACACAGAGCAAGTGGGAGAAGCAGAGTCAGGAGGCCACGCGAGAGCTTCTGAAGGTCAAAGACCGACTCATAGAGGTGGAGAGAAACGTGAGTACCAGCTCAGTGCTATCAGAATGTCTTTACGTTAGCACAGCAGCTGATATTGCAGATGTTTGTCCAGAACGCCACTCTCCACGCAGAGAAGCAGGCTCTCCGGACGCAGCTGAAGCAGCTGGAGTCTCAGAGCGGGAATCTCCAGGCGCAGATATTAGCTCTTCAGAGACAGACCGCGTCTCTACAGGAGAACAACACCACGCTACAAACACAGAACGCCAAACTACAGGTCAGAGTCGCTCTCCTCACACAGTTATCCAGTCAAACGCTGTCCTATTTCTGAGAGAAAGGGTGTGATAGATGTTTCTCCTCATAAATGTAACAGGAGTTTGGTCGTGAAAGCTTTTCAGGCCCCTGAGAGAGCACAAAACGATCTAAAACTGATGTTATTACCCTGCTGACGTCTGCCGTGTGCTCGTTTACCATGAGTGCACTTTGAGCTAAACGAGTTTATGATGTGCTGGCAGGTGGAGAACTCAACGCTGAACTCTCGGAGTGCCGCTCTCATGTCCCAGAATGCTCAGCTGCAGACGCAGCAGTCCGGCACAGAGAGCGAGAGGGACGTGGCCATACGAGAGAAGGAGGAACTGCGCACGGTCTACGATCTGCTGCTGCACGACCACGAGAAGCTGTCTGCGCTGCACGAGAGACAGGCGTCGGAGTACGAGGATCTGATCGGCAAACACGGAGAGCTAAAGAGCGGCCACAAGAGCCTGGAGCTACAGCACCGCAGCCTGGAGAACAGGTGCAGACAGCACGACCCTCACCATTCATTCAGCAATCACATTTACATTCTTAAACAGTGGAGGACGTGTGTGTGTGTGTGTGTGCAGATACAATCAGCTGCTGAAGCAGAAGACCGAGCTGGAGCAGCTGGAGAGAGATCTCACAGCAGAGCGAGAGAAGATGATCTCTGACAGCAAGAGTCATCAGGACACAGCTACACAGTACCAGAGGCTCAGCGAGGAGCACCACACGTGAGTGTCAGGATGAGCGAGCGTCTCTCTTGACTGAGGCCCATCTCTCATGAGCATCTCTCCTGTGTGCAGGTTGAGCTCCACACACCAGCAGCTCCTGAAGGACAATGAGCTTCTGCAGACAGATCATAAGACTCTTAAGAGTCAGCTGAACACGGCCCGGCTGGAGCAGACACGTCTGGAGGCCGAGTTCTCCAAACTCAAAGAACAGTACCAGCAGCTGGACATAACCTCCACCAAACTCACCAACCAGTGCGAGGTACACGCTTCAGCATCTCACACAGCACCACTTCACTCCTCAACTGTAGTTTGTCCAGCGGGGGACACCGATAACGTCTGCAGATTGAAACTTGAGCTTCAGAATTTCTTTTTGTTTTTTTATAAAAAATTATAATAATCAGAATCAGACTTGATTTATTCAATGCCCAGCAGCCGTCACCCTCAGCAGGACAGTAGGGTGTATCTTTGTGAGAACACTTTACATGTTCACACGAGACCCAAATACACCGCACTATCCACATAAAAATTATACATGTGCTTTATTGCATATATCTAGCAGTAGTCGTCTTTCGTTTCACATAGTTTTTGCATGTTATTATGTTCTCTATTGTGTATGGCTCTACACTTCCCGATCTCACGTCAACATGTGAAGTTCTCATGTGCACATGTAAACTGGCGAGGTGAGTGGAGGGTAACTGTGTTTGTGTGAAATGTGTCCTGCAGTTGTTAAGTCAGTTGAAGGGGAATCTGGAGGAAGAGAACCGGCATTTGCTGGATCAGATCCAGACCCTCATGCTGCAGAACCGGACCCTGCTGGAGCAGACCATGGAGAGCAAAGACCTGTTCCACGTCGAGCAGAGACAATACATGTGACATCACCATATTTCTAATTCACACCTCTTATTTTACCCTCATTCTTGTTCATCTTCTCAAGCTATTTTCCTGTAATGAATGATGCACTACCATACTTCTCTCTGTCTCTCTCACACACACAGTGACAAGCTCAATGAACTGAGGAGACAGAAAGAGAAACTCGAGGAGAAGATTATGGATCAGTATAAATTTTATGACCCATCACCTCCACGAAGGTAAGCACATCATCTCACGCAGATCACTGGTTGTGTTTGTAACACGGGTATGACAGCACAATGCACTGGAGAAATGCTTTCTGGGCTGAGAATGTCTTAAGACTAAAGCTCTGTCCAATGTCCACCACTTGTTTGCTCATTCACTGTTCCCATATGAGTGAATGAAGCCTGTTATTGTGCAGCATACACCAGTGTGATCCAGAGACAGGATAGCACAGAGCGGATCATTTGCACAAATCAACCGGTCTGCCCTTCAGAGCACAAACCGCATCCAAACTGTCTGAATTCTCCACAGAATGCTGTATGTAACAGTGATATATTGAGTAGAGCCTTCACATTATAAACAGCATTGACAAAAAGAAGAGATAACTGCACACTTGTTTGCTGGAACCTATAAACATTTAGTTTGGTTTATATTTTGGGTCATTTGCCAGAGCCTGGGTTATGTATGTTCTCTTTAGGTCAACTCTCATGACATCTGTCTGTGGAGAGACCCCTTGAGTGGTCTGCAGCCAAAACCCCGGCTTCATCAAAGGACTGGGGTGACCAGCTTGCTGGAGGGGGAAGCATGGAGCTGAAGAAGCTCTAGCTCACGTCTTACCAGACGATGACTTGCTCTCTATTGCAGCTCCTGTCGATCCCCCTGATAAGGATGAAAGCAAGATACGCAGGCTGATTTCTTCCTTAACACAACACTAGACATCAAGCAGTGCTAAGACTAGACAATAAATGGCCGGGAGCTCTAGTTCAGGCTAATTACTCAAGGCTACAAGTGAAGTTTCTGCACTTCACTATACTTATAATATGCCAGACCTTCCTGGCTTTCCTGAACCGAATGAAGAATCTAAACTCTTTAGGAATTAAAGTGAACTTGGAAAGGGCTCATGTACCCTGACACTTCTCAGTAGTCTATTAAATTCGGGGAAATTGAGACTACACCCTGACAGAGATGCAGTAGGGCTGACTTAGATTTGCTTGGCTCATTAGACATCTAGCAATGTCCACTGTTCTTCTCACTGAGGGAAAGAAACACCACTAGATCTGGATGCTTTGGGATATCTGTGCTCAGTGCTCTGCCATATGGTTCCTTCACTCTGAACATCAGATGGAGTCAGACAGCGTTGCTCCTTGCTCTGCTGCAGAGGTAATGCAGCTGTTATATGTCAGTCCATGGCATCTCACTTAGATCTGCTCTCTCAGGAGAACATATTGCACTCATGCCCTCACAGTTATAACTACTGGGTGTGGCCCTTAAAAGGTTCAGTCTAAGTGTTATTGCATTTCCCTAGAGTGTGAGTAATATTATTCAGATTACTAAAGTGGTTTCCACTAGGTCCTTGAATAACTTTGGAAGTGGAATGTACAAGGATTTCAAATGTTGTGTATTTTGTGGGATTACTGCCCTCATATGTGACCCCGTGACATCACAGGTGGTTCTTCAAAACCCATTCATATTTAACCATTTAACTGATGCTTTTATCCAAAGCAACTTGCATTGCATTCAGTCGTTCTCAGTTCATGGATTCCGTCAGAATTAAATTCAGCCGGTGACCTTGACATTGTTAGCACCGTGCTCTACTGTTTGGGCTACACTACAGGAATGCTAACCAGCTAGCAACCAGCTAGCTCCAAGGTACTTTAAAATGTTTAACATGCAGACTGGGCAACTACTGCCCTTAGTACTTAACTCTTTAATTTTGAAATGCTTCGAGAGGCAGGAAATGCAAACTGATAATATTTGCTGATGACATTGTAGTGGTAGACCTAATCATGAATATTGATGACCTAGAGGAGATGGAGAATCTGGCAGGGGAATGAAAAACACTTTTCTCTCTGTGTTAGCAAAATTAGTAACCTGATAGTGGAAGACTAGAGAGAAGGTACAATATCAAAATGTGTCTACCTGACCCCGATCAGTTTCTCACAGATAAATGCATGCTATGCACAGGCCTTCAATAGGGTAACTGAGAATTGCACTCCCTGTTGTTGAGTTGAGTTGTACTTTTAAATCACTAGTCTGCCTCACTAATCAATCTAGGCTTTGTTTCCCAAAGGCATCATAAGCCAAAGTGCCTGGTAAAAACTGCTGGTGCCTATGGTTTCTACAGTCTACTTGGGCTCACAGCACTTTTGGGAAACACAGCCCAGTCTGCTGCAGAACAGTCCTGACACATCCTTTTACACAGTGTGGCTCAGTACATTTACCATCCCAAATGTCAAAAGTTCAGGATGTTCTCGGGCAGCATCACTGCCTGGAAACGCACCTCTTAGGTCTGTAATGGCCTTCAGAGAGTGATGCTTTCATCTAAACTCATCACCAGGAGGGATATACCCTCCCTGTGGCACATGGACTCCAGAAAGTGCAGGATAAGAGCCAGGATAAACGGTTGTTCTCAAACATTTCTATGGACTGCTTGGACTGCTAATGCTATTATGCAGATGCACTTTTATAAATTGATTTAGTACATTCAGTGACAACTCACTCACCTGTGAGAATTTCATCATTTATACAGCGACTGCACTGGTCCTCGTTCCTTATGTAGAAAGAATAAAATACTTGCACTGCATTGACTTCTTGAAGGACCATCACTGAGCTGCATGCACCCTGAACGCTGCCTCAGATTCATGCTGAATTTCTCCAGGCTGGTCTTACTCCAAATTCAGCATTTCTGCCTAAGGTGATTAAACCGGGATTAGGTTGTTTGAGAGTAGAAATCCCTGTGTGTCATTTTTACTCTCTTCGGTTCTGCGGAGGAGAACAGATTGCACGATTTATTCCCACTGAGGCCATTGAGTGTGTGTTAGATGGGACAGGCACAAAGCTTAAGAGGAACAGCTTTCTGTGTGTTTGCAACAGCATCATAAATGCAACAGCTGTATCATAGAGTAACACAGAAGTCTTCAACCCTGCTCCTCGAAGTCCACTGTCCTGCAGAGTTTAGCTCCAACCCTGATCAAACTCACCTGAACTAGACAGACAATCAAGGTCCTCAGGATCCATTGGAAAATACAGGCAGATATGTTGAAGCAGGTTGGAAATAAACGTTGCAGGTGAGTGGGTCTCCAGGAGCATGGATAAAGACCTCTGGAATGACAGATACCATTACGTTGGCTAATTCACTTAAAGGCCTATTTCTGCCAGGAGGGCTGAGTCTTTATTCTACTAGAGAAGTTAATGTATCTCTGTTGAGGACGTATGGGCGGCAGCAGCAGACTGGGCTTCTCTCCACAAGCTTATGAGATTTGGCTGGATGTTACTAGGTTCTCTCCTGCACATGTGATGTTGAAGGGAAATCTTGGAGAGATTCCAGGTGTCCTGAATACTGACTAGTTGTCAAGTGACTGAACAAGTGGACACTGTCTGTATCCCTGGGGAGTTTAGGTTATGACTAGACTACAACCCTGGTTCTCTGAAGGTGATAGAGGACATTTTCATCTGCTCGGAAGCGCTGATTAGGAATGTGGACCTGTGTCCATGCAGTGGATCATAGGCTTCCCTAATGCAGTGGTTCCCAACCACGTTCCTGGAGCCCCCAACACTGCACATTTTGCTTGTCTCCTTAATCAAATATGCCTGATTCAGGTTATCGGCTCCAAACCCTGAAATGTGTGTGGAAGACAAAGGAGACCTGTAAAATGTGCAGTGTTGAGGGCTCCAGGAACAGACTGGCCATTAACCTAAAGGTGTTATTGTGGACGAGCTCAGATGCCTCAGAGAACCACGGTCACAATACAGCCTGAAGTTCTTTCATAGAGTTTAAAACCTCAGATCTGCTCTGTCTGTGAGCATTTCATTCTCCTGATGTGTTGCAGCGTTTAGGGGTTTCAAATTATTACATGAAATGCTTTACAGGACAGAGCTCACATGATAAGAGTTGCTGTTTCTGCAGGAGGGGCAACTGGATCACACTGAAGATGAGGAAGCTCATCAAGCCAAAGAGTCGTGAGCGCATGCGCTCTCTCACACGGACTCCTCCCCGCTCCGAGTCCAGCGAAGGCTTCCTGACGCTGCCGCAGCCGGACAGTCAGGACAGCTCGTCTGTCGGCTCCGGATCCAACTCATTGGAGGACAGTCTCACCCACCGCAGCGGCAGTGAGTATCAGCACACCTCCTGCTCCCTGCAGTGTTCTGCATCTGTGGCGCGGGACTAACCTTCCTGCAGTGTGCACGTTTCAATGTAGCTTAGTCAGTCACTTCATTCCGGAATCACTCCGACAGGTTCATTAAGTGAGTTGACCGAATGATTCTGACTGATTCTTTCTTTGATTTCCACTGATTTCCTGAGTGAATCCAGCTCTGCTCAGAGGTGTGTGTCGGAGTCATGGTCTAGCTCTGCATTTGTGTTCCTCTCTATTAAAGGGGACATCGAATGCAAAATTCACTTTTACATGGTGTTTGCATATAAATGTGTCTTAGCAGCGTGTGGACACAACCGCCCTACAATGATAAAAAATCCATTCACTCCATTTTTTTAATTCCCAAAAAACCGAAACATTCTCAATTATCAAGCCGTTTTGATTTTCTGAGCAGTATGACGTCAAGCCCCGCCCACGATCACTGACGGACTGTCCAGTATGAACATAACTCCGCCCTCAGCCAGTTGTACACTGTCCACCATTTTCTCCACGCTCAAGCAGTTGTAGCGACAACAACGTCTCGTAAGCAATGCAGGTGTTTTGTGGTTGGATGTAAAAGTGAACATAAGGCTGGTTTCACACCGCAAGCGTGAACAGCGCATATTTTTTCCGGTGTGCATGTTAACAAATGAGTGCATTCACACCAGGAGCTGTGGTGCTCACACAAACTTTCAAGACTTTGAAAATTTAAAGTTTATAACTGACCAGCTTCTAAAAACAAATGTATAGTTGTCTTTGTAAAGAAATCTGTAGCTTTGGAGCCGCTGCTGTGATGATTCAAGTGTGAATACTCTTGTGAGTCTGCAGCTGCAGTGACGATGTAGTTACGCTGAAGTGAAGCTCAAGCTTGAGGTGTGAAACAGGCGTAAGAGTCTTCATTTTCTCCCGATATCGGAGCCACGCAGTGGTTTAGTTTTGTTTTTGATGGTAACCCGCCACAGAATACGCAAAAATGGAAGAGAGGGGCGGGGTGAGCAGTAGCTCATTATCATTTAGAGACATGCACCGAAACGGCTCTCTGTGAACAGTGCTGCTTTTGACAAGGTAAAAAGGGTGTTGTTTTACACGACCATTGAGGAATTTTAATTTTAAGTATGTTGCAGACATTTCATAAAGACTCTAAAGAATCTTACCAACTACTGGAAAATGGGAATCCGATGTCCCCTTTAAAAGGTGCAATGCAAAGAGTGTGTGACTGCAATTCAGCGCTCGTCTGCCATAGTTCTCCAGTGTCATTCATTCATCTGTGTGTGACACCACAAGGAGAATGTTCATTTGAGCTGCTCAGTGATGATCTGTGACTGTCTCCTGCATTGCACTCTTTAATAACCATGTCCTGTTGGCATCAGATGGTGTGGTGTACGTTTCACTACATGTGTGTTCAGAGTGATCATGCATCAGTTTGACAGAAAGGTGCGCTGGTTGTCATGCTAACATGTTCTCTCCTCCCGCTCGTTGTGTTTCTTTGCCTTGCTGTGCTGTCCGGTGACAGTGCTGAAAAAGCTTCCGTTCATGAGGAACAGATCCAAGGAGAAAGACAGAGTGAAGGCCGTCTACCGCCGCTCTATGTGTAAGACATCTAATCGTCCACATCCATCACGCTCTTCTACACACTCTTACTGTCTGTCTCTTCTAGAGATCGACCGATATATCGATTTACCGATATTTCTCCCGATATTTAAGCATTTTACCATAATCGGATATCGGTTTTGTAATATCGGATTCACCGATAAACGCCGCCATCTTGTGGGTGTTTTGAGAATTGCGCGCAGGATCGCCATTGCAGCACATCTGAGGGGAGACGAGACAACAACAACGGCGTGCAGGTACTTGATATAGTTGCTATAGTTAGTAAACTTTATTTAACATAACAGCCATTTATGCACAAATTAGATGCATTATATAAATGCCTGATATGTAGTTTATGCAGCTTGGCTGTAAGAAATAGAGACCAACTCACGGAGTCACATAAGATAATCCGTCAAGATCCTCTCCAATAAAGACGTAACTTTGCATGAATTGAGTAATACAGCCATGAATGAGCGCATGTTGGAAATAAAAGCGCTGAATTTAATTATCTCTCTGTTGTATATTTGCTCATCATTTGTCTCGTGAAGCCGCTTTCATATTGCTGTTCACTGCTGGTTGATGCTCAGGAAATGATCCAGCACGGCCACCGCATGTAACTTTTAACAAGATTCACTTGTTTAAAACACCCTACATTGTATTAACATTTACTATATAACCATTATTTCGCTAATAAACATCTAAATAAATACAACTCTATGGAAATTAATCATTTATTATCTCCACGAGTGATAGCAGTTTGAGTATAGTTCTGTGTAAATGCATAGATAAACCGCGCTGTCAGCACGCATTTCATAATCTAGAACGACAAACCCATTATTAGTAATTCTGATATAACATTCCAGTTAAGAAATGCAATAAAATACGATGTTTTGTTTGTTATATTCCAATATTCCAGAGAATATTATTCAGTGAATTGACATTATCCAGTGAATTATTCTTGACTCTGTAGTAGAGCCCTGCACGGGCCTCAAATATAGGCCCTGGCCCGGCTCGGGTCCGACAGCTCATCAGAATTCTTGGCCCGTGTCTGACCCGAGCCCGTCTTTTTTTTCCCCTTCTCCCAAAACAGCTTATACTACTGTTTCAGCTATTAAAATAGTTCAGTTTTGTATGTAATGTCAAAGTGATTATATTTCGTTTCGTTTTTTTATTAAGTTAATTTAGAAAAATGTTTGGAGCATTTTTTGTTCGTTAAATGTAAGTTTTTGTTTTTGTAAAGTAACGACCAAGCGGCCAGCGGCAGACAGTGAGTTGATCATAGCCTATGTTTGATCAATTTAGCCTTCTCAAATCATCACGACGCTTATAAACCTACTAAAACTGTAGTTTAAAATGTTGAAGTTGATATGACTCCTGTCTTTATTTATTTTCTCCATTTCAAAACATTAGACATTCTACATTTATTTAGCTTATTGTTAATATTAGTGTTGTTGATGTTGATGCTTTTTATAAATCAAATGTTTTTTATTGTTGTAATATAAAGATTCAATTTACCATGAAAGACTGCTAATTTTCAACACTTAAAAAAAAAGATGACTGAAAAGAGGAAAAACCAAAGTGAAGTATGTTCTTACTTCACTCATTTATTTATTTACTTTATAACAGTAAATAAATATCGGTTCTACATATCGGGCACATAAACATGCAAATAATTGGTATCGGTTATAAAATATAAATATCGGTCGATCACTAGTCTCTTCTGCAGTGGTCATCTAAGCACTCCCATCATTTATCAACATCAGTCACTTGACACATCTGCACTGTCCTCTTTCTCTTGTCACCGATACAGTGACTGTGACACAGTTAGATTTAATGCTCATCTATTCAGATGCATAAGTATAATTCAGATCCGTTACAAATGATTCTCAAGATTAAAGTACAAGGTTACAACCTCAGCTCTCAGACCAAATCAGATCTGTTTGGAGAGTTCAATGCCCCACATCCTACAATGCTTTCATTAGGGTGAAATGAAAAAAAAAACAAAACGTGTAGATATGTACTGTTATTTGCTTTTAAGACACTAGCAACCGTCCCACACAGTGAAGACAGTACCCCAACCATCAATCATTACGTTTTTAAATCAGCACTGAAAATAATCATTACTGCATGATTGACACAGTCTGCCCGCCGATTCTACATCACTGTCTGTTTAGCCTCGCCTGCCGATTCTACATCGCTGCCTGTTTAGCCTCGCCCGCCGATTCTACATCACTGCCTGTTTAGCCTCGTCCGCCGATTCTACATCACTGTCTGTTTAACCTCGCCCGCCGATTCTAAATCACTGCCTGTTTAGCCTCGTCCGCCGATTCTACATCACTGTCTGTTTAACCTCGCCCGCCGATTCTAAATCACTGCCTGTTTAGCCTCGTCCGCCGATTCTACATCACTGTCTGTTTAACCTCGCCCGCCGATTCTAAATCACTGCCTGTTTAGCCTCGTCCGCCGATTCTACATCACTGTCTGTTTAACCTCGCCCGCCGATTCTAAATCACTGCCTGTTTAGCCTCGTCCGCCGATTCTACATCACTGTCTGTTTAACCTCGCCCGCCGATTCTAAATCACTGCCTGTTTAGCCTCGTCCGCCGATTCTACATCACTGTCTGTTTAACCTCGCCCGCCGATTCTAAATCACTGCCTGTTTAGCCTCGTCCGCCGATTCTACATCACTGTCTGTTTAACCTCGCCCGCCGATTCTAAATCACTGCCTGTTTAGCCTCGTCCGCCGATTCTACATCACTGTCTGTTTAACCTCGCCCGCCGATTCTAAATCACTGCCTGTTTAGCCTCGTCCGCCGATTCTACATCACTGTCTGTTTAACCTCGCCCGCCGATTCTAAATCACTGCCTGTTTAGCCTCGTCCGCCGATTCTACATCACTGTCTGTTTAACCTCGCCCGCCGATTCTAAATCACTGCCTGTTTAGCCTCGTCCGCCGATTCTACATCACTGTCTGTTTAACCTCGCCCGCCGATTCTAAATCACTGCCTGTTTAGCCTCGTCCGCCGATTCTACATCACTGTCTGTTTAACCTCGCCCGCCGATTCTAAATCACTGCCTGTTTAGCCTCGTCCGCCGATTCTACATCACTGTCTGTTTAACCTCGCCCGCCGATTCTAAATCACTGCCTGTTTAGCCTCGTCCGCCGATTCTACATCACTGTCTGTTTAACCTCGCCCGCCGATTCTAAATCACTGCCTGTTTAGCCTCGTCCGCCGATTCTACATCACTGTCTGTTTAACCTCGCCCGCCGATTCTAAATCACTGCCTGTTTAGCCTCGTCCGCCGATTCTACATCACTGTCTGTTTAACCTCGCCCGCCGATTCTAAATCACTGCCTGTTTAGCCTCGTCCGCCGATTCTACATCACTGTCTGTTTAACCTCGCCCGCCGATTCTAAATCACTGCCTGTTTAGCCTCGTCCGCCGATTCTACATCACTGTCTGTTTAACCTCGCCCGCCGATTCTAAATCACTGCCTGTTTAGCCTCGTCCGCCGATTCTACATCACTGTCTGTTTAACCTCGCCCGCCGATTCTAAATCACTGCCTGTTTAGCCTCGTCCGCCGATTCTACATCACTGTCTGTTTAACCTCGCCCGCCGATTCTAAATCACTGCCTGTTTAGCCTCGTCCGCCGATTCTACATCACTGTCTGTTTAACCTCGCCCGCCGATTCTAAATCACTGCCTGTTTAGCCTCGTCCGCCGATTCTACATCACTGTCTGTTTAACCTCGCCCGCCGATTCTAAATCACTGCCTGTTTAGCCTCGTCCGCCGATTCTACATCACTGTCTGTTTAACCTCGCCCGCCGATTCTAAATCACTGCCTGTTTAGCCTCGTCCGCCGATTCTACATCACTGTCTGTTTAACCTCGCCCGCCGATTCTAAATCACTGCCTGTTTAGCCTCGTCCGCCGATTCTACATCACTGTCTGTTTAACCTCGCCCGCCGATTCTAAATCACTGCCTGTTTAGCCTCGTCCGCCGATTCTACATCACTGTCTGTTTAACCTCGCCCGCCGATTCTAAATCACTGCCTGTTTAGCCTCGTCCGCCGATTCTACATCACTGTCTGTTTAACCTCGCCCGCCGATTCTAAATCACTGCCTGTTTAGCCTCGTCCGCCGATTCTACATCACTGTCTGTTTAACCTCGCCCGCCGATTCTAAATCACTGCCTGTTTAGCCTCGTCCGCCGATTCTACATCACTGTCTGTTTAACCTCGCCCGCCGATTCTAAATCACTGCCTGTTTAGCCTCGTCCGCCGATTCTACATCACTGTCTGTTTAACCTCGCCCGCCGATTCTAAATCACTGCCTGTTTAGCCTCGTCCGCCGATTCTACATCACTGTCTGTTTAACCTCGCCCGCCGATTCTAAATCACTGCCTGTTTAGCCTCGTCCGCCGATTCTACATCACTGTCTGTTTAACCTCGCCCGCCGATTCTAAATCACTGCCTGTTTAGCCTCGTCCGCCGATTCTACATCACTGTCTGTTTAACCTCGCCCGCCGATTCTAAATCACTGCCTGTTTAGCCTCGTCCGCCGATTCTACATCACTGTCTGTTTAACCTCGCCCGCCGATTCTAAATCACTGCCTGTTTAGCCTCGTCCGCCGATTCTACATCACTGTCTGTTTAACCTCGCCCGCCGATTCTAAATCACTGCCTGTTTAGCCTCGTCCGCCGATTCTACATCACTGTCTGTTTAGCCCCGCCCACCAGTTCTACATCGCTGCCTGTTTAGCATCGCCCACCAGTTCTACATCGCTGTCTGTTTAGCCCCGCCCACCAGTTCTACATCGCTGCCTGTTTAGCATCGCCCG